CTATGAGTCGCAGGCGACTCGACGGCACATAACAACAACAACAACAATTAAATTACAGTAAAGTTTCCTAGTAAATATCCATCTTTATCATAGTTTCTTTTTTAAATTGAATTTCTTAGTGTGGCTACATTTTTTTTAATGTTTTAAAAATTTTTGTAACAGCACTTTAATAGTTCCTTATGAATTATAGATTGTATATACCTACAGGTGACGTAAATAATTTGTGTAAAAAGACCATTTTAGGAGGAGATTTATCTGGATTAGCTTTTCTCCCCATTTTAACTGTATCATAAACTATTTGTAGGTGGAAAGCACATTTTAGACTTATTTTCATTGTCCCAGTTTTATTGCATTTCTTTTTATACTGCAGCCTTAAAAAAATAGGTCGAACAATGAGATAAAAAGTATTAGTTATCAAACATGTAGATAACTTTTATTACATAAACACTGAATGCCAATACTGACGATTTTCATACAATTCATGTTCAAGGTTCCAAGGTCTTCTTGACACTCATTCTAACTCATCAGTGTCAAAACAAGCACTGTGTGTGCCCTGATAGCTCATGCAGTCCTATAACCAATGACCATGTGAATACATAGATGGCTAGAGGATTCACTGTAGCTCAGACCACAAGAGTTAATGGCCATAATAGAAGCCATCATTCAACTCAGGAATGAACAAGATTCCATTTTAGTCAACTCAAAGTTTACTAGACTCCACATTAGGAACACAGTTGTGATTGTTTCGTGGAACTTTGGTGGCCTACTGGCAAGAAGCTGCATTGCAATCCTGCAGGTTCGAGGACGCCAGCTACTCCCTGGGGAAAGGCTGGGTAATCTCCTCCTTTATGATTAACTGCTTCTGAAAACCTACCAGGGGGTCAGCTATGGATTGGTTCTGACTGTACGGTACACAACAATAACAACCTAAGAAACACAATTGTTATTGTTACGTGCTGTTGAGTAGCTTGTAACTTACAGTGAACCTATATACAACAACTTTGAACCCTGCTCTATCTTGAGCCAATTTCATTGTCTCTGACACACCTACCCAATTATCTCTGTCACTGAGTCAATCTATTTCATTCAGGGTATTCCTGTCTTCCACTGTCCCTCCACCCTTCCAAGCATGATGTCCTTCTCCAAGGACTGGTTCCTCC